ATGATCCTTGAGGTCTTTTCCAACTTTTAATGATTCTATGGGAGGGATTCTGCAGCTGGTTAAGAAAGATGACGCTGAGACCGCGTCAGTCTTGATGATAATATTGTCTTAAAATGTGAGAGAGAGAAAAGAGCTGCTCTTAATTCCAGGACAGCAGGCATTCCAGCTGCTTGCAGTGTCGAGTCATTGATCAGATTTAATTATTTCGATGTGCAGCCCTCATAAAAGGGGATGTAAGGGCAAGTTAATGGCGTGAAATAGGCAAGTTGTGTTGCACCAGGATAAAAATGGAACTTTTCTTCTTCCAGGCCAAGCAGTGGGGCTGGACGCAGGGACGGTGGCCCAAGAAAAGCGCCGAGTTCTTGCTTCACATGCTCAAGAACGCGGAGAGCAATGCTGAGCTCAAGGTAGGCTGCGTAGACATTGGCAAATGCAAAGTTTTTGTGTTGTGCTATGTGTCAGCACCCTGTGTGGTTTAAATCTCTGAAAACCTGTAAAACAAAGCAAAATCTGTGAACTCGTGGTCCGTTTGTGTCTTTGTAATCCACTCAGTAACTTTGATGGCAGTGATGACTATCTTAGGACACCTTTGGAATAACCGTGAAATAATACTCTTGTTTTCTGAGCCATCAGTGTAATTTTAAATTCGTTGTGACACATAGAAGGGTGGTCTGGTTTTGTCTGTTTCATTTGAAAAGTCACAAGTTTTATCTCTCCCCGCCCTCCGCCAGGGTCTGGACGTGGATTCCCTGGTCATCGAGCACATCCAGGTGAACAAGGCTCCCAAAATGCGGCGCCGCACCTACAGAGCGCATGGTAGGATCAACCCCTACATGAGCTCCCCGTGCCACATCGAGATGATCCTCACCGAGAAGGAGCAGATCGTTCCCAAGCCAGAGGAAGAAGTTGCTCAGAAGAAAAAGGTACCGGGCGGCGTATCCTCAGCGCTCTGTAACGTCAGCGCCAAGAAATCCCAGTGTTCAAACTGCGCGTGATTCAGACCGAGGGGTTGCCGTGATGACAATCTTAGGACACCTTTGGAACACCCATTAAAAAAAATAAGTTATTTCTGAGCAACCTCGATATTTATTGTAAATACGACGCTGAGAACTTAGAAAAGTCCTTTCTCAGTGGTTTGTCTTGCGTGGATGGTTGGTTTTTCCCTCCCCTGGAGCAGTTGCAGTGTTCCCCGTGCGTATCGCTTCTCAGTCCTTTGAGAAGGCGACTGGAGCCTCTGTGTGAGGTGTTTGGGAAGGCGCGGGCTGGTGCCGGTTTCTCATTCCTGCGTTTTTGTTTTTCAGATCTCCCAAAAGAAGCTGAAGAAGCAGAAACTGATGGCTCGGGAGTGAACCTGACCCAAGAGATGTACATTATAAATAAACCTAAAAACTTCACATCTATTGCATGTGTGTCTTTGCTGTCCCAAACCGGGTGCTGTGAGTCGTGCTGGCGCCTCTGCTGCAGTCCAGAACCCGTCACCTCGGCAGCCGGCGGGTTGTAATATAAAATACATTATTATTTATACATAAAATGGGATAATTTGAGGCGACTCTGGGGGTTTATTGTGCCTTTCCCCGCTCTCTGCTATTCGGCGCCCCCGGCCCGG